CACTGCAGCTCCTGCAGCTTCCGGGGGTGAGTTGGGGCAGGAGCCTCCCAGCTCTGAGGAGTGTGGTGGGAGCACCCTGGTGTGCAGCCCCTCTTCGGGCCTCTGTCCACATCCTGGCTCCTTTGTCCCCTCAGCAGGCCAGCTGGGACCTCTACTTCCTCCTCCTGGGGCCAGAGGGGAAGCCAGGTGAGCCTCACAGCCTGGAGGTGTCCTAAGGAGCCTCTGTCCAGGTAGGAACGTGGGGCCAGGCCAGCAACTCTCACCAAACCTCTCGCCAGGAGAGGAAAGGGACTTGGTTCTGGCAGGTTCTGGTCCGCACCCAGGTCCAGGGCACCTGGGCCAGTCTGCCGGCTCCCATCTCTGCCCCCGAAGAACCAGGCACCGCCCAGGGCTTGGGAACGAGAGCTGTGGAGCAGCTGCTGTGTGCAGGCCCTCGCCCAGCGGCTCTCCCGCCTCTTTGGAGGGAGAGGCTGCAGTCCATGGCCTCTGGGCGTCGGGTGGTCTGGGTCCATGGCCATCCTTTCCTTATCCTTCGGGGCACAAGCTGAGGGCTGTCTGGAGGTTCCGTGGATGTACAGGCATTGATGCAGGACTTAAAAGCTTAAATTCCCAGTAAAGCAAGAATAGAACCATTTCCTCAAACCTCAACCTACTTGACTTTAGTAAGTAAGTTAGCAACCTGACTAGAGCGGCTCCTCCCCTGGCTCCGCCCAGAACCCAGTGGGGAGTTTGGGGCAAGTCCTGTTCCCTCGATGGGTCCTGGTTTCCGTCTCTGTAAAGTGAGAGCGAGGGTGGCAGCTGAGGTCTCTGAGGACTCTTTCCGGGACCTGTGGGAGGGGAAAATCCTAACTGCACAGATTGCTGAGCGCAAGAAGGGAGGTCACGCCTGGGATCCCCACCCTGGGGCAGGAAGGGCGGAAACAGAGGCCATGGGGAGCGGCTCAGGGGTGGGGGCACCGCAGAAGTGACCACAGCCACCCATCCGAGAAGTCCCCGCCACGGGCGAGGGCAGGCCTGGGGCTGCGGAGCGGAACGGCTTGTGGTTAGTCACCCCGGGCCCCGTGCACACTCAGCCTCGCTTCTCCTGAGAGTGGTGGTACCGGCAGCGCCCGGCTCACAGGCTGCTTGAAGGATTCAGGGGGTTTGTTCGCAAAGTGCTGTCACAGGAGAAAGCACGTGACGCGTGGGAGCTGATGTTTTCTGATCCTCGTTGTTACTGAAGTGGTTGTTATTGTTCTTGGGCTGCCGGGCGAACTCAAAAGGAGTTTGGAGGCTTTGGCTAGAAATAAGTGGTAAAAATTGGTTATTCAAGAGTCTTGGGGCTTGCAAACTGGGAAGACA